CTTGACTTGGGCGCGCAGACTTTTGGCGGCGGCGAAGACGAGCCGAAGGGCAGCGGCGGCCTGAGGGTGGGGTGTGTTGGGGAAGTCCGGGTCGCAGGGCTGGATGAGTCGGGGGTACCCGAGGGGCGACACTGGAATCCCGTGGGCAGCGCGAGGGCAGAGAGGGACCGGTCTGCGTGGTGAGGGCCCAAGCGTGCATCGCTCGGGGCGAGGGAGCTGCAGGGCGGGACCTGCCGTCGGGCTCTGCCTGCGTGTCCTGGGCTCTCCGCCCCGGTGCGTGCTGTCCCGCCGTCCCGCCCGCAGCTTCTTCAGACGCCGGGGTTCGGGACACTACCTGGGAGCCAGGGCGCGCAGGGACGTCCCGGCCAGGCAGCCAGTGCGGTGCCCAGCTTGCCAGCCAACTGCTCCCCGCGAGGTGTAACAACTTAGTTTTTTTTTTCCCCTTGGCTTTGCAGGCTCTTGGTGGAGAAAAGCAGAGAGGCCACCCATGGTATCCCTGTAGCGCTGAGGACGCTCAGGAGCCCGGGGACCCCGCCGCCTCGCGCCACAACTAACAGGTATTCCTGGTGCCCGCGGGGATGGGGTGCGGCTGCACTTGCAGGACTTGCTTTGAGTTATCTGGCTGGGATGGCACGATTGAGTGTGTGTGTGTGTGTGTGTGTGTGTGAGAGAGAGAGAGAGAGAGAGAGAGAGAGAGAGAGAGTATGCACACACCAGAATGTAACTCCTCACTCCCTCAGTCTCCTCGGTAAAGCCTGTTTCTTGGTCTAGGGGTATCCGAAAACAGCTGCACTTTAAAAAAAATGGGAGCTGAATTCTCCTCTTGATCATGGTGCTTTGCACCCCCTTGGGAGAAGCCGCTCAGCCTGTCCTTATTGAGGGATTTGGTTGGGTTGCTTTCTGTCTATGCTTTAATGTGCACCGGTGTAAGAGGCACATTTGGGAGGATGGAATTCTGTGCACGATGTTGAGAATGTTTTTGTCCTTAGTAAATGGAGACTTAAAATTGTTCTCTTTCACTCATATGAGTATTTTATCCATGCGCGATAATTGTGTTTTTTTTAAATCATTTTTCCGATTATAAAAGTAATACATGCTTGGTGCAAAAAGTTAGATGTTAGAAATATATAAAAATTATACTCACTCAGAGTCCCACCACCCGGAGATCATATTAAGGTTTTGGTCTGTATTCTTCCAGGAGTTTTTCCTACATAAACATATTTTAAAATATACTTAATATTGTACTTTGTATTTTGTGTTCTTTCTTTTTTCCTAAACAATCAGACATATTTATATTATTAAATTTTTCCGAAAGCATTGTTTTTCATTGTTGCTTAATTCATCATATGAATGTGCCATAATCCATTGACTTGTTTCCAGTTTTAGACATTTAGATCATTTCCTGGTTTGTGTTGCTTTGTTTGCTATGAATAATTGTATTAAGTACATTGATGTATGTAAATGTTAATATTAAAAATTAATTCTCCAGATGGACTGATAGAAGTTGGATTGGTAGGTCCAAGAATAAGTCTACTTTAGGTTCTAAATACATAAGGCCAGTTGCTTCTTAGAAGAGTTGAATCAAATTACATTCTCACCAGCAGAATGTACTTTGTGCCTCAGCATTGTTTTATTATTGCAATTTTATATATGGCAATATATTTTCCTTTTCCTATATTTATCTCTTGTGAATTTCTTTTCCTCTATGTAGTCTTCTGTATATTCTTTTTTGGAAAGAAATATTTTTAAAAGAGAATAAAAATAAGGCTAAATAGTTTTGGTCACAAACCTGTTGGATAAGAATATTTAAAGGTAAACATATCTGAGGAAGCAAACATGACATATAATAATCATTAATATACATACTGATATGTTGATACAGGAAATAGTATTCCCTCTGACATTACTAGTAGCATCAGTTTCTTGTTTTATATTTTTCTTTTACTTCTAAGGATAATTTAAGTGTCTTTGTAATAAGGAACTCATTGATAGCGTAGTCAAGTATAGTGAATGGGAGTTAGGTAGAATACATTCTCTGTCACCGCTGTTCTTTTTGCTATGTTTTGTGGTCATATTTAAGAACAGAGATCCGTGTCGGTTCTCTCAAGAGAAAAATTATGACATCATAGACTATATACACTATTCATGTCAAAACACAATTTTACTTCCATTTTATAGCTTGCTTTAGCATTCTTTTGGAAATGAATTCTCCCAGAAGACCTAATTGCCATCTTATTAATGAGTCTGTGTGTTTTGTTACCACTTACTATTCTAGCAGTTCTTTTTAAAATTTGTCTTTATTTTTGAAAGTATTACAGGTGTCCCCTTTTTTCCCCATTAACCCCCCTCCCCGCTTCCTTCCCTTCCCCTAGGCCTTCACACTATGGTCTGTGTCCATGGGTTATGCATATATGCATATAAGTTCTTTAGTTAATCTCTTCCTGCTCTTGGGTCATTTTAATCTTCTGATTGCCTGACTCAAGGCTCCTGTATAGCTTCTGCGTGGTCATAAGAAGGGTCTGGGGGAGCCTGGAAGAAATCTTAAAGTGCTGGAACCACACTGCCTCCCACAACCCTCCTTTTGGAATTTCACAGCAGATTAGCGGCACTAAGAAATCCTGGAGTAACAAAGCTTTGAGAAAAATGTCTGCCTATACTTTGATTTTATGCAGGGTTGTGTACTTTAGGCAGCCTTGCTTTCCAATGAACTGGGGGCATTCCATCTTTTTCCAAGTCCTGGTACTGTTTGTTATACTTTCTGAGGTTGCCCCTTGGGGAAAGTTTGGAAGAATATACTAATTATATTATCTGGTTCTAGGCCTTTTTTCAGGTAATTCTTTGATGAAATTTTCAGCATCTTTTGGCATACTTCTTTTCTGCTTGGCATACTTCTTGAGCTAATATAGGTAATTCATATTTTTTCCTGAATGTGGTCTATTTTATTAAGATTTTTCAATTTATATCATTCTGTTGTGTTTTTTAAAAACTGTCTTTTAACTTATTTTATATCCCTTTTATCATATACTAGAGGCCCGGTGCACGAAAATCGTGCACTCTAGGGGTAGTGGTGGTCACGCAGCCCGGCTTGCGAGAGAGCACAGGCCAGGCCGAGGGACCCCACCAGTGCACGATCAGGGCTGGGGAGGGATGCGGGAGGTTGGCCAGCCGGGGAGGGACTGCAGGAGGGCCCCACGGCATGTCTGGCTTGTCTCACTCAGTCCTGATCAGCTGGAACCCGGCAGCAAGCTAACCTACTGGTCAGAGCGTCTGCCCCCTGTGATCAGTGCACATCACAGCAACTGGTCGGCTGGTCCACTGTCTACCCCCTGGTGGTCAGTGCACGTCATAGCAAGCAGTTGAGTGGCCTTAGCATGTCATTAGCATATTATGCTTTGATTGGTTGAATGGCCAACTGGACAACCAGACACTTAGCATATTAGGCTTTTATTATATAGAATGGTTTTGATTATTTGTGTAGCAGGGGTGCAAAATTTATACTGCTTGGCTGTGTAAAGAAATTACAATTTAATTTGTCCTTTTCCTCTGCCCTCTGGAATAGTTTCTCAAATTTGCCCTCTATATTATTGAATTATTTTTCTGTAGTGTCAACTCTCTGTTTTTCCCTATCTATAGCAGTAAATCTATGACATATTTATTTTTATAGTTTTTAAAATTTTTTCCAGCCTGTACTTTATCACATCAATTTACATCTTAGAAAACACTTAATAATCTTTTAAACCTCACCTTCCATTTCTTACTTCATATTTTCTTGAGAATGTGAAGCAAATGCTTTCCAAGGGTTTCTTCTGTTTCTTATAGTATGTATTCTCCAAAAGTAGCATTTTCTCCATATCTTAACAATATTCTCCCCTTAACCTATAGAATGTTTTTATACATTTTATGATTTTTTGGAGCTGTGTTTTTTGTTGTTGTTGTTAACCCTCACCCGAGGATATTTTTTCTGTTGATTTTTAGAGGGAATGGAAGGGAGGGAGAGAGACACATCCATGTGAGAGAGACACATGGATTGGCTGCCTCCCCCACGCACCTTGACTGGGACCAGGGATAGAGCCTGCAACCAAGAACCCTGGACCTTTCAAGTCTGAGTGCCTACACTCTATCCACAGAGCCAAACTGGCTAGGACGGGCTTGTTTTTAATTTAGATTTCCCCAAATGGCCTGTGCTCTCAGGATTTAGAACTCCTGGTGGTCACTACTAAGAAGCAGTTGTCCTTCTTGGAGAATAAACCACATGAGAGGCTGCACCACAGAGCCCTTAAACAAATGTCTGTTGTTGTTGTTTTTTAAACTTGAATTAAAAACATTGTGATAAAATACACATAATATAAAACTTACTAATTTGAGTTTTTTATTTTATTTATTATTATTTTTTAAAATATATATTTTTATTGATTTCAGAGAGGAAGGGAGAGGGAGAGAGAGAAACATCAGTGATGAGAGAGAATCAATGATTGGCTGTCTCCTGCACACCCCACACCAGGGATCGAGCCTACAACCTGGGCATGTGCCCTGACCGGGAGTTGAACCGTGACCTCCTGGTTCATAGGTCGATGCTCAACCACTGAGCCATGCCAGCTGGGCAAATAATTTGAGTGTTTTATTTTAAAATATATTTTACTAATTTCAGAGAGGAAGGAAGAGGGAGAAAGAGATAGAAACATCAACGATGAGAGAGAATCACTGATTGGCCGCCTCTTGTATGCTCCCCACTGGGGATCGAGCCCACAACCCGGGCATGTACCCTTGACTGGAATGGAACCTGGGCCCCTTTAGTCTGCAGGTTGATGCTCTATCCACTGAGCCAAACCGGCTAGGGTAATAATTTGAGTTTTTTAAAAATTGTGGTAAATACAGGTAACATAAAATTTATTCATTTGAGTTTATTTATTGGGGTGACATTTGTTAATGAAATTGTATAGGTTTTAGGTATACAATTCTATAATACATCATCTGTATATTGTATTGTGTGTTCACCACCCCAAGTCAAGTCTCCTTCCATCACCATTTATTCCCCCCTTTGCACTCTTCTACTCTTCCTAACCCCCTTCCCCTCTGGTAATCACCTTCCTGTTGTCTGTGTCTACGTCATTTGAGTTTTTAAATACTGGACCTCAAAGCTATCTTCTGCTCCCATGTCTTAACCCAATGGCTGTCATAAAGTGCATATATTCATGAGTGATCCTAATCAACCTGGACTCCTGCTGCTGCCAGGAATAATGCATGAACAATGTCACCTGAAACCTGCCACCCCGTCATGTCCGGAGGTGTGATGGCTGATTTCCCTTCCATTCCTTTGGTGTCACTTTATAATGTAACAGAGGTATAATCTCAAGAGCCTGGAGACAGAGAGCAGTGAATGAGCCTGGGGCACCCAGTCAGCCTCAGGAAGTAGATTCTTCCCGTGTGGGAGCAGCCACCTGATTCTCTGGCTGGGCAGTGGGAGGAAGATCAAAGCCTCTATTTTTTCCTCCCTGGTCCTGCTCTGTTTCAGAGGTAGAATCTGACATCAGCTGCTGGCAATTGCTGCATGTGGTCC